AGGCCTTCAAGGAAATGAGCCACTTAAGGATAGTCCTTGTTGATTGTTTCATGAACAAGTATCTCAGCACTGTCCGTGTGCCAGAGTGCTGTGACTTGTGAGTGTGGCATCCATGTTGTAGTGAATGGGTGACCTAGCAGATACATTTGAATCATACATGCTTTAATTTCAAGATACACAAAGGGCACCATTTAAATGAGGGAAATGGGTAATATTTGAAGGAAAAGAGGAAGAATACAACCTTTGGCCCAGTTAGACATGTCAGACATTGCTCAAGGTCAGAGTGTGTGGTTTGTTAGGACATTCTCAGATAAGAGTTAAACAAACAACGACAGCAAGGTTTCTGAGTTCAGTCTGGCATGACTGGCATCTCAGGACACATCCCTCGTTGCTTTGGTGACTGTCCTGTGTGCTGTGGCTGGGATCAGCAGCATCCGTGCCTCCTGTCCACTGAAGGCTGGGAGCTCATCCCCTTCCTCCAACTGCCGCCCTGACAACCAAAATTGCCTCCAGAGCCATTGTTCTACAGGATGACATGAGGTATTTGATCAGAGGCAAAAAGTTCACAGTGTTTTATGTATCCATTAAATACATTCTAAAATATCCCTTTTATTCTCTCTATTTTTATGTCTGCAACGTTGAAAGACATAATGACAGGCTTTTATGTTAAACTCAATCCTTTCTCCCCAAAAGAAATAATACCTCGTATTGGAGTACCAGAAGGGCTTCTGATTGTTAGTGATATCATCATTCATGTGGATTTGTGTCTGTAATTCTCACATACCAATGACTGGGGTTCCTTGGGTCAAACAAAGATGGTGGCTTCATTACTTCAAAACTAGTGTTTGGCTGTGTGGCCAGAAATGTGCTTCTTCTTCAAGGCCCTGTGACTTTCCAACCCATTAATGTTCTTCCACAATGAGGTTTTTGTTTTTTGTTTGTTTGTTTTTTACACATTCTAGTTTGTCAACCTTGTTAACTGAGTCCTTCTCCACTATAGAAGAGAATTTTTAAAAATTCACGCTAATTTAAGGATTCATTAGAAATTAGCTGCTGCTTGCCATAAAGAAATGCTATTAATTAGAAGGGTTTGGAGCGGAGATGATTTCATTTATAGCCACATGAAGAAAGCTACTGTTCTGTTTGCTAATAGCATGGGTCCTGCTGTACGAATGCTTGCTTTACTATACAACCTTCTAATGAACTATACTAGGAGTTTCAAATACACAATTGTTTTTTCCAATTACTGTGGCAGTATTCTGCTTTCTCATTCCTTTACCCCCTCAGCACTAGGGACAGAACCTAGGATAACTGTATAGTATATGGCTAACCCAGTAATTTATTTCACCTATAAGGGTACCCGAAAATACATTTGCCATTAGGCATTAGGTAATCTAGGCAATCGATAGTAACACAAAATACAAAAACCTAATCATAGTGTAATACAGAAATATTTTATCTTCTTTAATTTTTCCGATATTTCCTAGATTTAGCATTGGTAAAGTTCTTCATCAATTAAAAATGGTATTATTAGGACAGAATTTTTGTATTTTCCAATTGGTGCTTGAATCCAGGGCCTCACACATGCGATGCATTCATGCTGCCGCTGAGCTCCACTACAAAGAATATTTTTGAAGACCTTTTGAAAGCAGACTTTATGTCTGTGTAGATGTAATCTATTTGGAGACCTGTGGGGCAGGGTGATCTGGCCAGCCTTTCTGCTTTGCCTCTGAAGGGCCACTTTAAAATCGCAGCATAGCAAATGCTATGAGATTCAAAGTCACCATTGCTTTGCCGTCTGCAGTAGTCTGTTGACACTGCTGTTGGCAAGTAGGAACAAAGGACTTTTTCAGACCCTTGAAGACATCAAAATCTGCAACCCGTTTGTGGTTCACTTCCTGCCATCTGCTGCTGTCCCAAACTTTGCTTGAGTTGTTCATGCTATTGACTGAATGATGGGTGTCCTTTGCCATGCAGAATCTTCTGTTTCATGATGGCCCATTTATTAATTGTTGATCTTAGTGTCTGTGCTAATGGTGCTCTGTTGAGAAAGTCTGCTCCTGTGCTGTTGAGTTCAAGACTATCTCCTTCTCTTCTATGAGGATCAGTGTATCTGGTTTTATGTTGAGGTCCTTGATCCATTTAGAGTTGAGTTTTGTGCATGGATCTCTTTGGATTATTCTACATGCAGGCATCCAGTTAGACCAGCACCATTTGTTGAAGAGTTTTTTTTTTTTTTTTTTTTTTTCCCAGTGTATATCTGGCGTTTTTTGTTTTTTTTTTAATCGAAAGCCAGGTGTCCATAGATCCATGGATTTATGTCTGTCTGGTTTTCAAGTTGATTCCAATGAATAAATAGTTTCGTTTTTATGCCAATACCGCCCTGTTGTTTGTTAGCAGGAAGAAAATAGAGATACAGGTATTCTGAGCCTTCCCATCAGAAGGAGGCATTGGAAAGAGTGAGAAGTTGAGAGTGAAGCCTCCCATACATGGTGAACTCATTGGATGGTGAATGACAGGTTCCAGTCATTCTGCTTTCTGAAGAAGTCTTTTGACATACTTACTGCATAAACAAGATTGCCACTGCACATTTTAGTGCAGAAAGGTCTCTGTTCTCTGAATAGAAAAATAAAATTGTTTGGCTTCACTCTCAGGGGAAATGTAGAGAAAAAACCATGCATGTACGAAGGTCTTAAAGAAATGTGCACAATTGATATTTTTAGAAGATTAGAAGAAAAATGTAAGAATTATGATCTCCTTAATACTAGAAGAAGAATGCAGGAGGTATGCAGAATTTGTTTGTTGGTTTGTTTATTATTTGCTGACAGTAGAACAAATGAGATTCAGTGTGAATTACAAACGGATTTTCATTATGGTAATTTGAACCATTTCTTGATAATCATGGTTGCTAAAAGCTTTAGTGTTCCATCATTCAGATAGAGTTTTCTCAAGGGTTTTTGATGCTTTTAGTTTTTTATGATGGGAGATGTTCTTAGATAACATTTAAGGCTTTGAATAGACCATAAGAGTTATCATTTGTCATTGATACATGATGCAGATGTTGTAGCCTGAAGTTCTTACATGTGTTCCATTCTAATCCTGTGAATTGTTAGTAAACTGTAGGGAAGACAGGGCATTTTCAATTTTAAAGGAGTGGCTTCCAGTAACTCTATTGCTTTTTTAATTTTTTAAATATAAAGAATTTTTAAATATATGAAATACAAATAGCATTATTCTGATGAGATCAAGTCTGTTTCACAGATTAATCTTTGAGAAAGTTCTGCAACTTCTTGTTGCTTCAAAGAAAACTTGACTGTTTCTCAGATCCTTTCTTTTGTAGCTGCAGAAGAGTTTCCTCTTGCCATACAAGGCAATCTCTTTAAGATATTAAGAAATACAATAGTGTTCTTTCCACCCTTTTTGATTCTACATTTTTTAAACTCTTCTGAATAATGTTTATTTTCCCCTTAAAATCAAAAGTAAATTTGTACGCAGTGTAAATTGTAGCTCGAATAATATAAACCCAGAGACAGATATTGAGGTTCAAGCTGAAGAAAAGAAAAGAAAAGAAAAGCAACCAACCACTAGAGAGTTCTTACCTCTACCAAGGCTCAGACCAAAGTGGGGCGATTCTGTCCTCAGTGTGACTGCAGACTGCAATGCTCTCCACCAAACCTCAACTGCCCTGAGACTGCACTGAGTTCCTGCCTTATATTCCTTCCTAGTGCTGGATTTAAAGGCATGTCATTACAAGTGCTGGGATCAAAGGTGTGAGCTCTGTTTTTCTTTTAGACTGATTCACTCTCATGTAGCCCAGGATGGCCTTGAACTCACAGAGATCCGTCTTCCTCTGTCTCCTGAGTGCTGGGATTAAAGGTGGGGCCATTACTGCCTGTCCTCTATGGCTAACCAGTTATCTCTTAATATCACTACATTAAATATTTCTGGTTCCCTTTAAAACGTTGCATATGTGAAAAGGTGGACAAGGAAACTTTTTTTCCCACTTTGTAACTGCACTATCTCAAAGCAGCAGTCCTTGACCTTGATTTAGACTACAGAGACATAGATCAAGTCCAGTTAGTTTTGGTAGGGAACTATTTGTTTGAATGAAATGGATTGAGGGTTCCTAGTGTGGTATATGAGGATCTTCTGTGTTTAAAAGCAGTGACCTTTACTTCTGAAATAGAGAAACAGAGTAATTACTTTCTATTATTTTAAATCAGCATTACTATATTAAAATAATCCTGTTTCAGTATTGAAAATTAATAATGTGATTGTGACTTCTAAATAGTTATATGTTTTTCCTGTTTTCATAATTTCTTCATTTTTGTATGCATATTCTCAAGCATGTAAGCTCAGTATATTTTAATCATCTTTCAACTCAACTCAAGTCATGAACCAGTATGACCTACCTGGTATTCATCAGAAATGCAGATTCTTAGACCATACCTTGAACTTTAGAGTCATTATCTATTTGTGGGGGTCATTTGTATATATAGTCAAGTGTGAACAATAGGAGTGGAATAGAATATCATTACCAATGTGAAACATAAAAATCAACCTGATAGTAGATCTATTTGGAATTGAACATTCTTTATCTTTAAAGTGATGCTTACTCTATTTTTGTGTTAGCAGCTAGTATTTATAATACTTTGGAAAATCCACTACATAAGGAATATGTTATTTTTAGCAAAACATAAAATTGTTGTTGAATAATGTTTTATAATTTTATAACTGTCTATCCATTGTAATTCCACCATTTTTCACAGTAGTGATCTCAAGATTCATTTCTATTTTCCTAAGTTATTCATGATTGTGCTTGAAATGCTAACAAATATTCATTCATGGATAGTGTGACCAGTGTATCTAAATATTAATGTGTTCTTTAGTTTATGTTAAAGGAGAATCATTGTTAAGTCGAATCTTACTACTTTTTCTGTTTCATTTTTTTGTTTGTTTCCTTATTTTTATTTATTCCATGTTTTCTTTTTTTATTTTAGTTGGGTCTGGTAAGTTGACATTTTATTGGCCATCTCCTAATCACCGTGTCACTGTGACTGGAACTTCTCTTCCCCTTTCCATCCATACCCTTCCATGTCCTTCAACCAATCAGCCTCCATGTTTCACTTGTCATTGGCCACAAAGACAGACTGCACAGAATAAATCTGCAGGAAGTATGGGTAACTGGGACAAAGAGTAAAGGTAATGGGTTTGCTAACTTTCTGTCTTATTAAGTCATGTGTGATCTGAGCCCTTTAATTTCCTCCTTCCTGGGGATAAGTCATAGCATTGTATCTTGGTGAATGAAGAGCGATTTCATTTTGTACCTCTATATCATTAAAAGAACACAAAGACAGGCCATGAGAACAATTTGGCTTTCTTTGTTTCAAGTATATTCTTAAGACCCTATCTGTGGACCCTTTTGTAATTAGAATTCAGGAGTCCTTAAAGTTCAATTCCTGGGTCACCTTGTGCTTGGAACTTCTTAGTGCTCATTTCCATTTCTTTGCATAAGGTTCATTTCATTTTATATACACAGTAACCACATGGAACAACCAAAATTTGCTTTTACTTTGTTTTTCTATAAATAAAGAGGACCAAGGTTCTTTGCACTTAGTTTAGAAGAAGATCCATTCATTCAGTAAGTCTGACTGAACACCATGTTGAGAGAAATTGCAATACTAAAAGACCAGAAAGTCATTTTCACCTTAAGAAAATTTCTTGTTTAAGAAATTATTGTTTAAGAAAACACAGATGTTTTTATTTCATGTTCACATATTCTGTAAGATGAGCTGTCCAATAGTAGAGTATGTTAGACACTGGCTATGTGAGCTGTTATTCACAACTGAGAAAAATCAAACTTTAAAACAATAGAGATTGATTAAATTAAAGATAGTATATCAGTTATTCAATAATTATTAAAATTGTGCTCTAGTATGATATTGCTAAAGAATATTATGTAGTTTGCATGGTAGGATTGTTAGCAGTTGTTCTTTTTCTTTTTTGTCCATTTTCCACATTTCCAGCACTTAATATATTATTATACTGGTTCCATCATTATGTACTTTGAACACAGCTAACATAAATACTTTAGTTTTCAAAAGCCACTACAATATATAGTCATAAAACATCAAGTCTGTGTATTCGGTGAGTATCTTCAATCTAAATAAATATATATTAACAGAAATGTATTTGGTCCATCTTTTCCTTAAAGACATAGCTGTGTCTGATATCTGACATAATAGGAAGATGATTTTTTTCTTCTGTTTATTTTTTAAAGCATGTGTTACTGGCTTCAAACTCTCAGACTGAAGCGTTGCTCCTCCTAGGCCCTCTGGGTAGCTGGGACTACATCAGCTTGTGCCACCACACTAGTCAGAGGAGAAATTTTGAAAGTTTATTTCTAAGAAGTCTCTTGTGGCTGATGTCACTGTTGATGTTGGCTTGAGATTTTGCCTACAGAATATAGTAAATCATTTCCAAGCAAATATCCTGTGTGGAAGGATTGCTTCAGGATAAATGTAGTTAGCATAAGGGTTTGTATTCCTTTTTCCCAAATAAGTCTTTGAGGTTTGAGGAGAGCTGGCATTTTATAAAAGAAACAGCTTCTGGCACACATTCCTAGGCGAGCTCCTGAGATTTGGGATGGAGACCACCCCAAGGCTTCTCTTGACTAAGTGGTTTGAACATTTATATTTTCCTACTTGGATTCCCTTCGTATTGGAAAGTCATCTGCTCCCCCACATCTAATTCATCATTTGCTCTTCCTTCATTGAAAGAAACCAAACTCTAGACTGGATTTCATTTATTTTTCAGTCAGCTTTGAGTCTCCTAGTCTCATCTCTGCATCAGTTTTTCTAACCCTTACCTAAGGAGGGAAAAGCTCCTGTTTGGCTTGGTACAGGAGGGGACATCCCCAGGCAACCAAGCACGTGCCTATTATTATACCTGGGTAATTACAGTGTTAGCTACATTCATGAGTAAGCCACTCAATTACCGTCACAGGTTTTCTACAAAAAATTATTAGCTAAAGCTTCGGTTTGACCACACTGAACTCCAACTGTGTATCTTGACTTTGTATTTTATCTTCTGTAAGTTAGAGAACATTTTAAAAACTTTGGCCTGATGTCACAGGTACCCTATAATTTTCTAGTCAGCTAGTCAACTGTTAGAGTTCCTACTAACCTTCAATTAAAAAAAAAAAGCCATAAAAGAAAGTACATTACCTAGAAGTTTAGAGACCTAATTGCTCTCTTCAGTTTTTGTTACAATGTTAGCCATGAACAAATCACATTGCATTTTCTTTTTTACAGAATTTTTATATTGATGTATTCATGATTTGTATATAAACATATATAGCGATGCATATATATTAAGTAGGTTTTAATATGCTTTTATGATGTACTTTCATAATTGTCACATATGTAATTTATGATACACACAATTGTACATCCGATGCAATTGACCTGAAAATGTAACAAAAAAAGAAAACTGTCTTTCCAAATGCTTTTATTTAAAAACAATCATTCTTCTTGGTTCACCAAAAATAAGTAAATAAAATAAAAAAACAAAGTCATAAACGTAGGAAGGGTTCTACATGAGAAGAGAAGCAGCCCACCAAGAGGGGAGGGGCTCCAGAGATTAATGGAGGCAGGCGCAATCAAACGCGCCATGTGCGTGTGTGAAAGAGACAGAATAAACCCCATCATTATGTCTAATTCACATATGCTAATAAGAAAGCTTTTAAAAAGAAAGAACCCTTGCTCTTGCAAGCAGTGCAGTAACATTCTGGGATATAATCTGAATGTGAGTTTCGATTCAGATTTGCTTTAGGGAGTGGCCTTAAGTGACTGACGTAAGCAACTGAAAATACTTTTAAGGGAACAATGGCAAGTAGGGGCCAGGCCTTGCAAAGTGGCTTAAAAGAGCCCTGCCCTGTGTAAGCTGTTAGCAGGCTGACTTGAACTGAGATGAGAGGGAAAGATTAGCTTTTCCAGACAGCTGATAAGGAGTGGATTTGGAAAGTGTACACATTAGGTAAAGGGACTTACTTGGTACATACTGTCTTTCTATGCAAAGCCCAGCCCTAAAGCAGGCTCCTGATTCCGCACCCAAGGGCCTGCTCTATCAGCACTCCTACCTATCAGCTGCCATTGCCCTCCATGTAACTGACGCAATTTTCTGACACTCTATTGACTGCTGGATGAAGTGGCCATTCAAGTCTGTATAAATCAAACAGTTTGGACAAAGCTGGCAGGATTTCTAATGTCAGGGTGAGCAGATGTTTCGAATTTGCCCTCATTTCCATATATATTCTGTTTGAGCATGCCCTTGCCCATGTAAATGAAGGAGGCATGCGACTCCACTATCGCTTTAAACCCGTTTCTATTCAAATAATTGGACTGGAGATTTTAAATGATTCTAATTTGCATGGTAGCATTTCAGGAGCTTTTGAGGTAAATTAAAGTAATTTCAGGCCCTGCCTGTATCAGGAGATCTTGCGTGTGTGTGATTAGAGTTCATTCACCTTGAAGCAGCCTTAAGTGAGAAAAGATAATATTTATTCATACAATTTTCAGGTATGATTTGAATGTAAAGGGTCAGCTTGTAGCTCAAGAATTCTTGTGAATGTGAGGATTAATTCCAGGTCTAGGTTAAGTAACACAGCTCTTCAACTTACCACTCTGTTTCAGCCTAGAAATACGCACTTAGCAATTTTGCTTTAAACGAAGGATGGGAATGGTTGATTGTTATAATGTGTTGTAGACAATAAAGGCAGCATTAGAGACACCAGGAGACTGAGCGGGGACTGTGGTGATGCCATCTAACTCAGTGTGTTTTGTTTCTTCAGAGCCTCCACATTTTGTCGTGAAGCCTCGTGACCAGGTTGTTGCCTTGGGACGCACTGTGACTTTTCAGTGCGAGGCAACTGGAAATCCTCAGCCAGCTATCTTTTGGAGGCGAGAGGGGAGTCAGGTATGACTGTTTGCTAATTTTTTTTTTTTTTTTTTAAAGAAAATACGGGATCCACAGCTAAGCCCTGGGCCAAGCTCCTGGAGTCCACGTGTAGAGAAGGAGGCTTGATGAGCAAATGGGTCAAGACTATGCTGGGTCAAGAAACAGCTGACCCAAGCTAGTGGGAGCTCATGGACTCCAGACTGACGTCTGGGCCGTCTGAATGTGGGTGTCAGTTGGGGGGCTTAAACAGTTTATGGGACCGATGGCAGGGGAACGAGTTATTTATCCCTAGTGCATGACCTGGCTTTTTGGAGCCCATTCCCTATGGAGGGAAACCTTGCTCAGTCTAGATACATGGTAGGGAGGGCCTTGGTCCTGCCCCAAATGATGTGACAGACTTTGATGATTCTCCATGGGAGGCCTCACCCTCTCTGAGGAGTGGATGGGGCAATGGGGTGGGGAGAGGGTGATGGGACCGGGAGGAAGGGAGGGAGAGGGAACTGGGATTGGTATGTAAAATAAGATTGCTTTAAAAAATAATAAGAATAAATATAACACAGAAAGAAATATGGGAACTAGGTATCTGAGAAGAAAATTCCAAGGATAATGAAACTATATAACAATCATCTTAGCAGGAAATGAGGAAGTCCAGTGCCTCAGAAATGTTTAGAAGTAAGAGGGAAGAGAAAGTTGTGCCCTTTTAAATTCTCAAAGCCATTTTTATGCCTTCTTTTCGTACACAGGTGTGCATAAGCCTCTATTTTGCCATATAAATCTTCCTTTGATTGTAAAGCTGTCTATGTTAAATGAAACCTAGGCTATTCTCCCTATATAATTCGATCATCATTCCCACTGTTCTGGTACCCAAATCCTCAACTTAAGTGTATTCGAAAAAGAGATGTTGATTCTCTAGAAGTTTGGGAACCTAAAATACCTTCTGAAGCTCCAGATGATGGGAAATTCTCTCTAGCATCAATACCATGCCCCATAGAGTTCAGTCCCCTCTAGTCTTTAAAATTGTCAAGTGTGCTTATCACCAGCGATTAGATCCTATTTTCTAAACATTCCATAACTTAGAACAGCAGTTCTCAACCTGTGGGTTGTGACCTCTCATGGGGTCAAATGACCCTTTCACAGGGGTCACCTAAGACCACCAGAAAACACAGATATTCACATTACAGTTCATGGCAAAATTACACCTATGAAGCAGCAGTGAAAATAACTATGGTTTGGGGACACCAAAACATGAAGAACTGCATTAAAGTGTTACAGCATTAGAAAGATCGAGAAACACTCCTCTTGAACATTAATCCTTGTTTTGCAAGGTTTTAGCTTGATAAGAAAAACAGTTGCACAGTTGAAAATCTCATCTCTGTGATGTTGCTTCTTAAAGAAGGTGAAATACTTACTTGGGAAAAATTAATCTCACTCATTTTGGGTGTGGTCATGCCTGGCCTGTCTTATTGCTGCTTGACTCAGTGTTTGGGATTTCACGGCCCTGCTTCTAAAGGCAAGAACACAAAAAGAGCAAGAACACAGCTTCCTTACTGAACTCCGTGATCATTTGTGGGCAATGCTACCAGCTGCATTATTCTTATTTTGCTGTGGTTGGCAAATGTTATAGGATGTAGGCTGTCATTTGAATTCTAATATATTAGTGAGTTCTAACATATTTCATTTAGTCTCACAAGATTAATTTTGCTGAGAAGTTAAAGAGGAAAAATTAATACAGCAAGAAGAATTGGGATGGAATTGTGGAAGAAAAAAAAATTTTTTTTTGGTTGGGGGGGAGGGTTTGAGACAGGGTTTCTCTGTGGCTTTGGATGCTGTCCTGGAACTAGCTCTTGTAGACCAGGCTGGTCTTGAACTCACAGAGATCCATCTGCCTCTGCCTCCTGAGTACTGGGATTAAAGGCGTGTGCCACCAACGCCCAACTGGGGAAGAAAATCTTGATAGCAAAAATTATAATCTGCTTGATGCTTTTTTTAGTAGAACTTTTACTGAATTAATTTCCAAAATTTTTGTTTACTTTGGTTCAATAGTACAAATCTCTTTTCATAAAAAGGTCATTAAAATTTGATCTATAGAGTTTTAGCTAACCCTTTAGAAAATGAATTTTGATAAATAGCACCAAAACTTTGGAAACAAAGCAATAGCAAATGTTTTCAGCCAGGAAAAGGCCAATGTACCTTCTTTCCTGAAATACAACACCATGAAGTACAAACTTCTAAGAATCTGGATCTCTTCAATCAATCTACATGAATTTCAAAAACTCTATAACATGCATGCTTATCTCCTAACAGGAAATAGAAGATGTGCCATGACTAAGTGATTGATAAGTGTTCCAGAACATTAATAATTGACAGCTGGATGAAATGCTTGTTATGGAGCCACAATGGCATCCTTGAACATAGTTTTTCAGAATGAATTTAAATTTCATTTTGTTCATGTATTAGAGGTCTTAGAGTTGATAATACTCTAAGCCATTTTTCTGTATTACAAGATTTTTGTTGACTTTCCATAAATATATTTAGTCTTCTTATATGTTCAATATTAACCTCAAACTGATGGCTATAAATATACATGTTGATATTGAGAATTTTAACATTTTTCATTTGACTCCATTAAGCTTTGTATTATTAAACTATGTTTAATAATATATATTTATACATGTGCACATCAATATATGTGGATTTGTGGTAGAAGAATTTTCAGTATATATATATATATACATATATATATATATATATATATATATACACACATTTACGTATAAATGTACATATAACTGTGCCAACATATTAGAACCTAGCTGTTAACCTGTCTCTATTCTTTCCTCCCAAATTCTGGTTTTAGAATCTGCTTTTCTCATACCAGCCACCACAGTCATCCAGCCGGTTTTCAGTGTCCCAGACTGGGGACCTCACTATCACTAATGTGCAGCGGTCTGATGTTGGTTACTACATCTGTCAGACTTTAAATGTTGCTGGAAGTATCATCACAAAGGCATATTTGGAAGTTACTGATGGTAAAGTAAAACATTTTCTTTTGAAATAGCCAAATTATCTTCGGGTCTGAAAGAACCTGTGGATGTTCTCATGCAAGCTTCGCCTTCTTTCTTACAGTTATTTTAGTGGAAAGTGTAGAGGGTATGTCTACACGATAGTGACTCTACTGTTCTTATTTAATTAACACACACTAAACTTCTCTATCGTCTGTTCAGATTCCTAAAAGCACAGAAATTCTCCATGAATACATATATTCCGAAGAGCTGAGCATAGGAACCTGTTCATGTTTTTAACACAGGAAGAGCAAGACAAAGTCACTTCGCAGTCTCTTGCTATAAATCCCCGTTTCCACTATTGTCTCTAAATTAAGAAAAATAAGAACTTACAGAGTTGTAAGTTGTTTATTTTGATTCTAATCCCAAGTTTTCGACTCAGAAAAATTATGTATATCCTACATATCTTATCCATCTCAATTTACTGAGATAATAAGAATCCAGAATCTGACAAATAATACTATGATACTTTTTCTTGACAGTTTGATTCATTCTATTTAGCAGTTCCCTAAACATGGTCAACTGCTGGTAAAATATTAAGACAGGGCAATTGAGAAAAGTATCTAACCTACAAAACACAAGTAGTGATCTTCTGAAAAGATGGAAGAAGATACAAATTGCTTGTAAGCATATATTTATACATGTGTACATATATATGTACATTTGTGATACAAGATTTTAGTTCATTAAATATATATTATTTCATTAAAGAAAAATGCCTATAAATATGTGAAATAGATATGTATGTGCATGTATTTATCTTACATAGAAATATATCTATACACATAGTAAATAAATATATTTTAGATATTTCAAAATATATTTGCATGTATATAACATGTATGTAATATACATAACATATGTAGTATGTGTGTGTGTGTGAGTAATCAAGAAAGCATTACTGCAAAGGGCTTTGAAATTACAGTGACATGCCTGTTGTTTTCCATACTGGATTCATTTGAAAAATTAGGATTATATTACATTTTTAATTTTAAGCAGTAGATAAAGGCCCATAAAAGGTAAGCACTTCATGTCTTTCAAGGAGAACGATGGGACCGGGATAAAGGAAGAGTCAGGACTGAAAGATGCTAGCTCTTGCTTCTTCCCGGCTGATGTAGGGTTTGTGTATCTTTTGTGTTTGTTTGATGGGTGTGTGTGATGCAGGTGACGGCCGAGGGACAACTTCAGGTTTTGGTATTCAAGTGCCTTCTACTTGTTTTTGAGACAGACTCTTTCATTGAACTAGAACTGGCCAAGCAGACTAGGCAGGATGCCTAGGGAGCTCCCAAGATCCTCCTCTCCCTGCCTCCCGGGAGCTAGGATGCAGATGCACACAAAGCAGTGGCTTCATCATTATTTCTAGACAAGACCATACTTTTCACATTCAACTACACTGCCATTTTATTTAAATTCAAATGAGCGTAGATTCCTGGACAATGCATAGTTTCTCTTCCACAAATAAGTATTTACTTCATTTCATGGAGACTTGGTTATTGTAGCTTACAATAAGGCTTAAAGGCAGATATAAGTCTCCAACTTTGAATTCCTTATTTTAGTTTTGCTAAATTGGTTAAAAAAAAAAAAAACTCCACGCAAGAACCCTACACAAACAAAGCTCTAAGTTTCTTTACTTTGTATTTCTTTTATAAACTAAAGTTTTCAACTCATAGAAATGATGCATATCCAATATCTCTCTCTCTCAATTTATTCAGATTTTCTTCAGTATTTCTCAATCTCTCAATAATGTTTCTTATTTTAGCACATAAATATAAAAGTATATTTTACATATACTTTTCAGTTTTACCTAAGTGTTTTTGGTGTGTCTATATATGAATTTAATTTTTTTGTTATTGGATTATTTGAGAAAATTGCTTAGTTTTGCAATTAATTTTTGTTTAACTTTTCATCAAGTAGTCTTGATAAATTCCTCCAATTTTCTAATGTTTTTATGTAAATTATTCAAAAAACTTATGTACAGAAATGTAGCAACTGGTGCTGGAGAGATGGCTCAGAGGTTAAGAGCACTGTTCTTCCAGAGGTCCTGAGTTCAATCCCCAGCAACCACATGGTGGCTCACAACCATCTGTAATTAGATATGGTGCCCTCTCCTGGCGTGCAAGCATTTATGGAGGCAGAATGTTGTATACATAACAAATAAATCTTTTAAAAAAAGAAAGAAATGTAGCAACTGAAAAGAAAAATAAGCTGACTGCTTATTCTTTCTATATAGAAAAACATATAAATGGCATACATAGTTTACATATAAATGAATATGTATTACATATACCCTTTATCTCCCTTTCACGTCCTCATTGGCTGTGTAGTGAGTAGAATTTTCATAACAGCACACATATTCTTCTTAATCCTAACCTCAAAGGAAAACACTTATGTTTGCATACTGTAGTGTTGAGTTGGATTTTTGGAGACAACATTGAGTTTGGCAGGTTTTGTAAGGATTTTTTTTTTTTTTAAGAGTAGGCTGGAGGGTTCGGGTTGTTTACTGTCCTTGAATGTGCTGTATGGTTGACACAACTGACAGTCAACAGTCTCTGTTCTGATTACCGGCTGTGTGTGTGCTTCACTGTGTCATACTGCTTGTGTGGCTTTTCCTTTGTGCACATCTACTCTAGCTTCAGTTTCACTTTCTGCAAAGAGTTTACCCTAACCCACCAAATAGGAGTCCTATGCCTCCATACCTGCCATCTCTACACAGATGTAATCCATCCTTTTGTGTGTCTCTCTCTTTTTTTTAATCTGTCTTACTCTGTCATTCATAACCCAAGTTCCATGAAATTCGAGCCATTTTCTGTTTAGTCTAGTCAGTGTTTGCCAAGTGTCCACCCCAGATCTAATGTGATAAATGTGCAGTCCATAGTCTCAAATGTCTAGAAGAAGCAAGCAAAGAAGCAAGCAAATGTCTAGAAGAAGCAAGCAATAACCAAGCAAATCTTGGTTATTGAGATTTCAAAACCAGTATTGTCTCTATCAAAAAATTCAGTGTCTTATCCTTGCCTATGCTACATACTATATGTCCCTTGGCGTCAATAATTCTGAAGGACCTAAAATGTGTTTGTGGTACGTCATATCCACTGGGTAGTAATTCTGAAGATCACCTAATAGAAAGTAGAATTTTTAAAACTGCAATATGCCTACAAATGTAACTCTACATGGCTATCTATAAAATAAAAACAAACAAACAAAAAACAATCTGTTGAACTTTTTTCCAATATCTCTTTTCTGATAATTAAAAACAGAGGTTTGTAGGTAGGGGAAGTGGCTCACTTCATAAATAGTCCATTGTACAAGCCTGTGTATGTGAATTTGTATCCCCCAAACTGCACAAAACCCCCAGCAGGGCACAGGTTTGTAAGCTCAGCACTTAGTAGGTCAACTGCCAGCCTTGTCAGTCAGTGGGTTCCAGATTCAGAAGAGACCCTGTCTCAGAAACTCTGGGGGAGCAACAGAGGGTGAAAGTAAAGCTCTGGCCTAACACACACACACACACACACACACACACACACACACACACACCCTGCACAGATACACACATTAAAAAAAAAGAAAAAGAAAAGCCATGAAGTTTGTAGGGAGACATGTTGGGATGGGGTCTTAGTTTGGGTTTCTATGCTGTGATAAAACACCACAATCAAAAGCAACTTGAAAAGGAAGGTATTTCATCTCATAGTTCCACACCACCTTTCATAACTGAAGGAAGTCAGGGGAGGAACTAAAGCAGGGCAGGATCTTGGATGCAGGAGCTGATGCAGAGGCCATAGAGAAATACTGCTTACTACTTGTTGCTCATGGCTTGCTCAGCCTCCTTCCTTCCTTCCTTCCTTCCTTCCTTCCTTCCTTCCTTCCTTCCTTCCTTCCTTCCTTCCTTCCTTCCATCTTTCCTTCATTCCTTCAATTAATCTTATTTTTATTATTTTTTAATTTATTTTACATACTCACCAACTCCCCTCCCTCCTCTCCTCCCATTCCTTCCCTCCATCTCTCCTCTAACCCCCCCCCCCATCCACTCCTTCATGTCTGTTCAGAAGGGGCAGGCCTCCATGGGAGTCAACAAAGAATGGCATTAAAGTTGAGTCAGTACCAAGCTCCTCCCCCCTGCATCAAGGCTGTCAGAGGCATCCCAGAATGGGGAATAGGTTCCCAAAAGCCAGCTCAAGCACTAGGGACAGGTCCTAATCCCACTGCTAGGAGTCCCACAAACAGACCAAGCTATGCAATTGTCATCCAGATTCATGGAGCCTATGTCAGTCCCATGCTGGCTCCCTAGCTGTCAGTCCAGAGACTGTGAGCTCCCAAGAGCTCAGTTGTCTCTGTGGGTTCCCCACCATGACCTTGATAATCCTGGCTTGTACAATCCCTCCTCCTTCTCTTCAACAGGACCCCTGGAGCTCAGCCCAGCTCTGCACCTGCTTCCATCAGTTACTGGATAAAGGCTCTCTGATGACAATTGGGTAGTCACCAATCTGATTACAGGAGAAGGCCAGTTCGTACAGAACCCAGGACTATCAGCCCAGGGGTGGCACCATCCACAAAGGGCTGGGCCCTCCCATGTCAATCACTAATTAAGAAAATGTTCTACCAGCTTGTCTAGAATTGGTGTGGAGGCAATTTCTCACTTGAGATTCCATCCTCTCCGATGATTCTAACTTGGGTCAAGTTGCCATAAAAACAAGACAACATAGAGGGAAAGGGGGAAAGTTAGAGGGAAGAAAGCGGAGATTTGGTCATTTTTTTTCATTGTATACATATGTGAAATTCTCAAGGATAAAGAAAGCCTATCCTTTAAAATTTCCATTAAAAAAAGAAATAAAATTCAATATCCTAAAATTATCAAAACACAAACTCTTCCATATAACAACTGGTGTGACATTCTTATTCATTGCATATATTTTGATGCAGTGTCACATACACAACCTTTACTCACACTTCACAAAAGCTTCTGCCTTTGTGAA